CCTGTACCATAAAATCTACCATATATTTGTAACAGATAAAGTAGCAGTCGAAACAATGTAAAACTCCCATTTGAACAAACAAAAAAATTGTCAATGCATAAAATGAGAAAGAATCTCTCCAACGAAGGGTTGTTCGAAAGTCTCAGGCAGGGGTTGCTCCATAACGGGGGTACACCTACGCTCCGAGGAGCCCACTTGCCACTGTTTATCTACAATTTACTGACATACTAGATACAAAAGGTAGGTGAACGAGATGGTGCACGTACAGGATAGCTCGCGTGCGAAGAACATAGATCGAAGGGGCTGCGTCTACGTCACTCGGTAAGGGGGCGTCGCAGAGGAAAGCCGCACAAAGGGTGACGCCGCCAGATAGAGATAGGCCACGATGCTGGCGTGACTTGACAATAAAGCTCGTCTCACCTCTGGCTCGTTCCACAGCCTCCTTTTTGGTCCCTCTCACGACTCGTCCTTCGCGCACCGGCAAACCCTCCCCTTCGACCCCCTCCCGGCCCCTCTGGTACTCGGTCCATCCGCTTCACCCGATACCCTCAGCACCTATGAGGCTCGTTCGCCATTGACTACTTTAGCTATCGCTTGCCAACTGGCTGGGTGCTCGAGGGTTTATAACGCGTCCGTAAGAGTTATAAAGCGTGAAACTCGAGCCGTGAAACGAGCCTGCAGCGGCTACGGGTCCTTATCTCTACTCGAAATGATGCCAGATGCACGTGTAGAGGTGTAACGCTTAACACGCTCGATGCTGGTCTCGCGAGCTGCTGGATATACCGAAGAAGATGATTACGTTTTAATTAAGAACATTTTTCGGTTGGATAGGTGTCTTTTACGAGTATAGCCACGAAGAAATCGCGAAGAAGTGACGATATATTTTATTTTGAGAGAAATGTTCGCTATGTTTAGGTTAGATTAGAGTTTGAGGTTTAGAATGGAATTTTAGTGGAATGTGAAATATATTTGTTAATTGTGAGATGGTTTGAATATTTGGGAGGTCTGGAGGAAATTCTAAAAGGGAAGACATACAAGGATAGGATATCGAAAATGACAGGGAAATTATGAAGAAATGCAATATTTTATGTTATGATAAGAATAGTAGCAAAAAGTAGTAGAATTTGGTGTTTAAATTGAAATTTTAGGGAATACTAAAATATATTTGTAAACTGCAAGATGTTTTGAATATTTGGAAAGACTAGATGAAATTGTAAAGAGGAAGAAGTCGATATCACAAACATAATTACTGCTACTTAAAATAATTCAGATGATGAAGAAACGTTAGATAATTAAAAATAGCGACGAATAAGATGCTCCCATTTTAAATAGTACACTTTAATATTAAATAAAGCAGAATATTACCCAAAATAGCAAGTATTAATTGAATTAAATCAATGAGTCATTAACAGAATAATAAAGCTTTGGGTCCAAGGGTTAATGACAAACGTGCAAAATGAAAAATTGATGTTGTCAATTACCACGCAGAAATACCCTCGACCACCCCTTTAGTCCCAGGATAAACGTTTCATAGGTGTTATTACGAGTGTATCAATGCCAACAACGAGGACAGGCTAGGTGGAATGAGACGAACCTGATGGAAGTAGCGATCAGTCAATCTGTCAGTGTGACGAGCGACGTCTGTTCAGAGGGTTGCCGAGGGTCGAAGACAAGCCCATTGTCAAGCGACCCCTGCGGACAAGTCAGTTAAATCCTCGTTAGAACTTTATCCACCTTCTCGTTTGACAGCCGTTGAAAACGCGGGTGACTTTTCGCGCTTCTAATCGTATAATCGTTACACACCGATAATACCACGTGTTAATGGATACATTGCGACTTGAAATATAACCGAACAGTTTAAGGGTTGTCACGCGGAGTCCATTGGTCACGTGGAACTTATTTAATAGTTAAGGAATAGGATTCTTTAACTTTGATGATGATGTATCGTTAGGGATATTCGTAAATAATGTAGTTGTTTGATACTGGAGTAAATTTGATTCTGTTTAAGAATTCATATAATTTCAATCTACAATATCTACTGTTATTGACAATATTAGGAGTTTGTCATCTGAAAACTATAGAAGGACAAGCATGGATTAGGAAAATTTATTTGGTTCAGTCAAGAAACGAAGCTCTCTAATTTTTCTTCAATATTATATTATTATAGTACGATTTATTATGTACTTATGGGTCAAGTAATTTAATTATTTTTCGGTCTGAAACGTTTCAGAAAATATGTATTTTTTCTGGAAACGCTCCAAGGCTTCACTGCAACCGCGCCAAGTTAACTATATTAATTTTCTAACTTACAAATTAAATGAACCACGTCAAATAAACCATATGAATTCCCCCAAAAAGATCAAGAACAGTGATTTCGCGATTTTTATCCCTCAAAAAAATGTTAATTTATATAAATAATCTTCACCAAACTATGAAATAATTTTTTTTTACGACACCTGCTCTCGTTGCATAATATTCGGATTATTGTGCGTTTTTAAGGAATTTCGCTGCACCTACACGGTAGAATTATTCGCGTTCACGTTTCCGTGGGTTCATCGTGCACGGTCTTCCGAACCGTTTCGTTCCACGTCGGGCTGCGGGTTTCACCGAAAGAGGTGAACGTTTTGTTTACCGACGTTCCATCTCGATGGATTCATCGTCGAGCGGCGGTGTCAGCAGAAACGGCGTTGCAAATAAAGTGAGGGAAGCGAGAACGACGGGGGTGCCCCCGCGTACGTTCATGAAAACGCGTGCCAATGTTTCGCGTTTTTAAACCGAGAAACCAGCCAAATGCGCGCGATAAAGGGATCTAACGTGGAAAATCGTAAATCGCTCCGATCAGGGGTGGTAGAGTAACCTCTTATGTTTTCATAATTTTATAGGCCACAAAATTATCTACAAGAAAGCCTTGCGAGTGAAATTTTCGAATTATATAGCTTCACATACAATTAATAATTAAATTTTGGTGTACAATCGTATAGAAGACCAATTTTTTCGGAAATGAATCGTAAAATATTGGTTTCTTGAAAATGATATAAGGGAGCTTTTTTTTATAGAAAATGAAATTATCTACAAATATGTTATATACAAATTTTTCATGAAACGGATCTTTCTGTAGATATTCTTTTTTTTCCCCTGTCTGTTTTATGTCGCATCGACTACAAGGTCATTAGCGACAGAACTATTTGCGATTTTTTATATTTTAGAATATATATTGATATCTTTGAGGAAGTCTATTGTATCTCTGATGTGGTCCTGCACTGTTACGGCTGAGTCTGGTTTGATTCCGTATTTTTTCCTTTTCTGTTCTATTTCTTTACATTCGTATAATAGGTGGTTTACTGTTAGACGATGGCTTTGACAAAAATGACATTTGGGGGGTTCGGTTTTAGCGATGAGGTAGTCGTTGGTGATTTTCGTACGGCCAGTTCTCAGTCGAGACAATACAGATTTTTCTTTCCTGTTGAGGTTTGTAGTTGGTATTTGCTGATAGAAGTTCTGGATGATGTTGTGAATTTTTGTTATGTTGGTTGTGGTCCAAATTTTATTCTTCAATTTGGACTTTCTTAAAATATCTGACATTTAAAAAAATAACTCATGAAATTTCCAATTTAGAATTTAAAATACAATTACCCTTGAATATGTCAGATAGTTATAATATAATTAATATGCATCATTTTTTAAATAGCCAAAGACTCGAGAAGTTTGAATTAATTTCAAAAAATAAACAATACATCTGCTCCCTTTGATACAACAGTAAGAAAATAAATATAATTAGAAAATGAAAAGAAGATTGATAATTTATTTTCGTAAACAATCTGACAATATAACTAAAGAATTCTTCAGTTTCTTATTTTATAAGGAAGTTAATTTTGCCTTAAAAAAACGTATTCGAGAACTAAAAATTGATTTCACTCCCTGACACTAGGATTAGAAGAGTATAGGATGACAGGAACGAATCCTCAGCGTCGAATTAATCGAAATACGAAACTGCTGGTTGCACGTGTGGCGAATATTTGTTGCTCCGTGGCACGGTGAGGTTAATGAGAGAGGCGAAGAAAGAAATAGAGACGAGGAGTTTGTTGGTGCATAAAGGAATGAAGGGGATTCTATACCCAATGCTCGTGTCTGGCTCTCAAATGAAATGCTGAGGCTGCACATTGCACGTTACACCTAGGATCACGCGAAATGCGAATCGCTGCTAACCAGAACTTTCCGTTCCATAGTCTTTCTCGTTTCACTCCTTTTCTTTCGTATTTCAGGCCATTTTAATTAATCGATTTCGTCGTTTTGCTTCTACGCCCTCGGATATATTCGCGTGCGTGTGAATAGGGTTCGTTTAACGTTTTAGGGATGAATCTTTCTGTGATACTTGTCATTGATTTGTGAAATTAAACTGGTGATCGAATGTTGAATAATTTTGGTAAAGAGAAGATAAATTTTGTTGTCTTAGTTGAGCCTCTGTTCTAGGATATTGATGTGTAGCTTCTCTATTTAGAAATCACCTTTAGAATTACAGAAATTAAAACTATGAAGCATATAATAGTCGTGGATTTATAAACAAATAATGAACGAGATTTTCACAGTAACAATTATAAGAAAAGAGAGTATACTAAAGCTTAGAACCTCTATTTAGATTAGCTTCAGAATTTTATAAAGAAATAATCAACAAGATTCTTATAGTAATTCTTGTAAGGAAAAAAGGTGTGTTGATTAAGAAGTCGCGAAACTTGGAAGAAAAATATTTACAGTGACCATAACAATAATTGGGTAATAATACACGATCACGTTTATTATTATTACTCGATAAATGTTTCGGTTTCTGAACACATTTTTCGTAGAATCTTTTTAAAAAGAAATTCAATGGAGTTTGGAATTTTGTTGATATATTAGCGTACTCGTACTCATTTTTTTCTATTAGTAGAAACAGAATTATTGTAACAAGTTTCAAAGGAAGGGACGCATGAGGGGCTCGGTGAAATAAAGACTTGTGCTGCGTGTATCTGAAACTGCCGTTGTCGGCATTTATTTATAATAAGAAGTATAATAATTATTTTATGTACACATGAGACAATGTAACGTGAATTAAAATATTCTTAAATCGTATCGGACACGCCACGATCGACACAAACGACCGAGTCGCAATCCAACGCGACAAAACAATAATATATGCTTCGTATGTCATCCGATATGACAGTGGCGTAATTTTTGTATCAACCTCCTCGCTTGCACCCTTGCACAATCCCCAAACAAAGAATACGAAACAAAAGCATCCACTAATATATATATATTTAAAAAAAAAAAAACAAAAAAAATAAACGGATACTTAACAAATACTTAATTTTCAAATATTCCTGCAACAACGTTTACTACAACGCGGGCAATTGCAGAGAGAACGCACTCGCCACAAAATTTACGCCGCTGTTTGAACGCAAAAGAGAAAATAAAAACAGCCCCATCTCGTCCAAACATTCCCTAGAAAATAAACGAAACGAATAACATGGCCGATAATTTATAGAGCTACCGTATACAGATCATTTTGTGCCATAAGTACGGTAACGTGTTATCCCAAGAACAATATTTGACCAGGACCCTGATCGAACGGGGGCCCCCTCTAAAAATTCAATGCATAGGAAAGCTCATTTCAATGATTTTTGTATGATATACGAGGAATGAGCTTTGTTTGAGAAACTTGATATGATCAATGGTTGACAGCATTGAATTGATTCTTTTACACATAATTTTTTGGTAGGATCTGTGACACACACAGGACAAGTAAACTAGCGGGGATATTTGTTAGCTGAATGACGATTTCATGCATTTCTGGTGTATGCTAATATGGAATAATAATTAGTCTATTTTTTGTTAATAGAATTAATATGTTGACATTGATGAGATTTATGGGTTAATATTAATGAAATGAATATTTTAATATTAGAATATTACATGAATTATTATTATATTAATTAAATTAATGTATCATTGAAATATTTATTTACGAATAAATGAGTATATTAATTAATTATTATGATATTAATGAAATAAATATATTAATTAATCGATTAATGTAATAGTATTAACATTCATATTTCATAACTGTGTTCTTCATATTCGTATGCACCATAAATATATCAAATCCGCAGGCTACTGATCAGATTAACTACAGGCAGAGATGAGCAAAATTGTATTCGAATAATAGATGACGAATAGTAAAGCACCCTATAGCAATTTAACTGCATGTTTATTCTCTCACACAGTTACCCAGGTCTCATTCAGTCGATATAAAATTCCACGTCATTTAAAAATTTTAATAGCAATTTTTATCGAACAAATAACGAAGCAAAAACTATTCACTTTTTATTCGTCATTCAAAGTGTCTATCTAGATAAGAATTTTATCCATTTCTGACTGTAGGTACGGTGTATTATTTCCAAATTATTGTCCTGTTGTGTGTTATTTTCTAATTAACATTTCATTGTCTCGATGAAATGAGATTGAATTTGAGATACGTTTTCAATTTGTGATTCTCTTATCATGGGGCCCCTTAAATTTTGTCGCGGGCCCTGCGAAGGTATAACACGCCACTGCATAAGTACTAAAAACGATATCACCGTGTCGTGTCGCGTCGGTGCGAAAATGCACCGACACGACTTTGTTATGCAACTTCTGAGATCCATCGGGTCTCGCGTTCTTCGCCAAACGCCACCCTTTAAGGAGACAGACACTCGCACTCATGCGTGCACGATCGAACGTCGTAGGTACTCTAAGTAGAAGCAGATCTCGCCGATTTAGTCGAGTCAGTATCGAATCATCACGATTCGAATCGTATTTCCTCCTAATTCTTGTGATTTCCTAAAGTAGCGTTTCCCAAACAGGGATGTTCAATCAGAGAACATTTTTCTCATTGTTGTTATAAATCAATTCGGAAGGGTAGATGTTATTGCAATTTTTTTTTGCTTGGAATTTTCAATATTTTTAGGTTTGTGAATTTTCTCTCCACCAACATTTACATTCATTTAAAGTTATTTGGGGTTTTAGCGAATAATAAATATAAAAATTCATTCTCGAATTTTAATGAAAGTTTGATGGATTTAAAAATTGACTCTTCTATTTTAATGGTATCATTATGAACATAAAAAGTTACTTTCCTTACTTTAAAGTGTGCCTATTTTCATGAAACTGTAATGACTATAAAAATCAATTCTTCTACTTTTTAGTGCGAAGTTGAACCTAGTTTGGGAAACGCTGGCCTGAAGGACAAGTATCGACATGAACAATCTTTGGCTCTTTAACTTAATACTAATGGGCCTAATCGTATATTCTAAAAAATTTAGCCACAAAGAATACAACTAATTGTTTTTCCGCAATTTTCTGTAATTTTCTGTAATTTTCAATGCAACACATAATAGAAATTCTAAAAACTTTTATTACATTCCGATTTAAAATAAGCTCCAGTGCTTCAATAGAGTCCTTTGGAATAATTCAATAATGCATTCATTTAAAAATCGCGTTTTAAATTATTTAACCAAAACTGCTGTTGGAATATATAATAATAGTATGAGTATACAAATTAAAAAATTGCTCCGGAAGAATTCAAAGCCAAACACCACCTTCGTCGATACTAGTCCTTCCCTGCGAAAACGATATCCATCGCTGAGGATAAACGATGACATTCGTAATGTCTATTTACCAACGAAACGATAAAAACAACCGTAGCCAACGAAACTTGGCTATTACCTAAAAGATTCTCAACTATCCGCTTCAAAGTATAAATTTACAGAATGGTCGTTCTATTAACGGAAAGCATCCTCGGTGCTGCCACAATGTTCAAGTTCAAGGACATCATATCCCACGTACGTGATTGTGTAAAAGTTACTACAAAAACGTGCGAGGAATCATCGGAATTTATTTACTAATTAAATTACTATTTAATACAGTAAAACTATTAAATGTATAAACGATAAATTTTACTCTTCCTTAGATAACATTCTTTTCCATAAAGGGTTGAGATTACAGTTCAGAATGTTCGATAAATACATAAAGCTTCTAAGACTAAGATATATAATAATTTCAAATTTGAAATAAATTAACTAAGACTAACTTGCAAATTTATATTAATTAAAAATCTCTCGCACACGCTTCTATATGCACCTCAAATTTCTCGAATCTTCCCGTGCATTTAAAACTTAAAAAACGCAACAAAGACACCAGCCAGCACCGAAGGCTATCCACGATCATTCGCGTCGTAAGAATAAAAATGATCTCTTTGGCTAGAAATTAAATAACAAATAGAATGAAACCCTTAAACGCTACGTTTATCTTCACGCAAGCTTTCATCACTGTTCCTTTTTTTTTTTTGTTTGCGCTACGACAAAGTACAGTTTCCTCAATATATTTATTTTTTTCTCTTTTTTGGTACAATATTTGGCAAAGACGTTCAGTCTACCACGAGCATATTATCCATATACCTATGCGAATAGAACTAATTACCTTTAATCTAATGATACCTTAGCTACGCCGTAACTCCGTGGACACGATTTACAAAGTCATTATTAACAGTCAAGGCCCTCGACGTGGCTTTAACGAAGCTGCGTGTAGAGAAAAGGGACGAAACGAAAGACGACGGAGAACTGAGCGCTATATACACTTAGACGAGCTTAGAGATGTGCTTAAGACTTAAGTCTCGATTGAAAAAACTGCTTCTCGAAGGAATACTCGATTGCCTGGCTGGTCTTTTTCAACCCATCGCCAAGGTATGTCGCTGTGAACAAATTCAAAAGGAAAAAAAGAGGAAAATAAAGATAACGTATCGTTACCAATTCGTTGTTTGGACGTTAACAAATAAGTTTCATTGAACTTTCTAGCGTTCTTTAGTCACTAAATAAGACTTGTTTCGTGAACACTTCTGCAGGTTTCTATGACGGTGAATAGAATTATAAATGGTTTTACGAAAGGCTAAAGTCCCCTTTGAAGATATTTTCAATTTGATTTGGAACATTATAAAAATTAATGTATCTCGGCACAGAAACGTCTGGAAAATTGTCTTAATTCTGACACAGGAACTCTCCATGCACGGCATCGAAAATGATTGTATATCGATAGTTGTTTTAATCATGCACGAGTTATACTTTTATGCGCGATCATACTTTTAAATATTGTAAGCAGAAAGGCTCTTCTTTGAAAGATTAAACTGGAATTACAACTTGATCCGACGGAATAAGTAAACGACGCGTTTAATCCCTAAGAACAAGCACCTCAAATTGTTCCTTTCGTAAAATATACAAAGAGAACTAAATACCATGATACAAAAAACAGCGTCATGAAACTTTAATTGGTATTCTGTTGTTAGTTATTATTTTTTAATATCGTATATATACACAAAATAAGCGTATAAAAAAGAATTGACGAACAGAAATAATAATAAAAGAACGTTGATATAGCAGCAGCGAAAGAGACAATAGAATAAAACTTGTTTAGAGCGTCGGAAGAAAGTAATACAACCCAAATAGAGATCGATACTTAACCTTCTATTGCAAGAATTTTATTTTATCTGTCCTCAGTTATTTATACGAAACTGAACTAATTATTTATTGTTTCATTTATCATACATCACAAGTGGTTGAAATTGGATTCTATTACAATCAAAATGGAGATCGATACTTGACCTTCTATTGCAAGAATTTTATTTTATCTTTCCTTATGTATTTATACATTCAATGTTTTATTTACGTCACTCGTCACGTGAATCAATTGCTTGCATCCTCACTTTAAAAATGTAATTGATTGAAACTGCATATTATTACATAGATACCATCGTACAAAAATTATTAAGGAAAAATCTTACGAAACTTTCGCGAAGAATTTATAGATATTTATAAAAATAAAAGGTTAACTATGTATAAATAGGTCGAAAATTCAAAACAAGATGAAATATGAAATTAATCATTAAATTTAGACAAAAGTTTCTTCAATAGATATAGAGGTTACGAATAATTATAGGACTGACAAACATAAAAACTAAACAAAAAATTTCAAAAAATTGTCTACCATCCTGAATCTTTAAACCACAATATCCATATATTCATCAAACAACCTCCAAACATGAGTCACATCAACAACTCGATGAGAATACCAAAAGAACACGACGAAAGAAAAATATTGCCAAAAGAGGAAGTATACTCGTTATATTCGTCACTCACCCATCGAGAATTTCACGATCAGACGACGTCGTGTTTCTCTTCAGGTCCAGCAAGCGCCTCCTCGGCGCTGTCGATGTCACAGGTAGACCTCCGGGCTAGCAGGCGCTGGTTGGTGTTGCTGTTGCGACTGTTGTTGCTGTTGCTGGGGCGGTTGTTGCTGTTGATTCGATGTCTGATGCTGCGGCGGTTGCTGGGGCTGGGGCTGGGGCTGCGGTTGCTGCTGCGACGCCTGTTGCTGATGATGGCTGTGATTGTGGTTATGATGATGGCTCTGTCTGGCGCGTAGGATCTCGCATCGCTGCTTGTAGAGATCGCGCTCCTGCTGGACGCGGGCCAGCTCGATCTTGAGCCGTTGGAGCTCGTTCTGCAGGTTGCGATTCGTCGTCTCGAGGTCGTGGCGTTGCTGGAGCCGTTTGCTGCGGCAGTTCTGAGCGTAGCCGCGGTTCTTCAAGGTCCGTCGCTTCTGCTTGAGGCGCACGACCTTCATGCAACACGAGAAATTCATTTTTACGGAGTGGAATCGATTTGTCGCCAGGTTAGAAGGTCTTCTTGTTGGATTATCTACCATTACGAATTGTACAAGTGCGTTTCAGGAGAAGGTGAAAACGACGTGATAACAGTATCGATGGTTTGACGTCTCAGGAGGATGTATTACTGTGAAGATTTCAAGGTTGTGAACTTAACAAGAGTTTGTTTCTTTCTATGAAGCATCTTGAAATGCTTATTTACGGTTCTTTGTTTCTTTTTGATTTTATATTTATTTTTTAATAGTAAAGTTCGATAGAAATTAAATCAATTTCGGTGTTCATTAGAAGACTGCAGATGTTTATACATTCGAGATAAGTAAAAATGTGATTGAGTGCAAAAATATACGTTATACAATATACATATATAAATCAATATTACATGAATATACATACAGTCAGTTTAATAAGTATTCGTACACCAACCCGTTTAAAATAAATGGTTCCTGTACGAATACTTATTCCACTGACTGTATATTATACAATTATATTCAATCAATTATTATCTGAGTCTATAAAAATATGAATTTGCATAACCATCCGCAATCTAGTCATTACATTAAACAGTGCAAAATAGAATTAATAGCATTCGAATGTTACACCCTTCTGACACCAAATTTTCGACGATAATCTTTCAACGAAGAGGTTTACAACGTGGATTCTATTGGTCGCATGTCTGACCATAGAAGGAGTCATTCTACTGTCGCCATATCCACTGCAGGCTTGCTCTCCACTTATGTTTCTTAACCTTGTCGGGCTTTCTACGAATTCTTCTCAATTCATTTGTGCTTTGACATCGCAATTATAACGGTTGATGCTTTTTAAAGGTCCTGGATGTAAGCCAAGTCCATTTGGAAGTGGATTCTAAACGTCTGATAAAGCTAGTTCTCAATTCATCAGTATCAGCTGCAAGAAGCCACATCACGAGAGCCTTGAATACTTTTATCACGAGTTTCTGTTACAACTTGTACAATTCGTGAATCTTAATCTCGCTTTTACAGGGTGAACTAATTACAAGGTGCCCTCATAGATAATAAAATTAAATTTAATATATTCAGTTTGCGTTATATTAAACAAACTTCTTTTTCTAGAATTTTTCTTTTCGTGGTGTAATGTGCATAGAACTATTTTTTGATTAACTTTGAGACTAAGATTCTATTCTAAATGTATCGCAGGATACATTCGTCACAGGAAAGATTCGTCTTGAAAGTGTTTGTATCACGAAACAAATTGATATTTTACATTTGCATATCGAATATACCTATTCCTTGAATTTTTCTTCTCGCGAGGAATATACAGGGAAATAGACAACTATTCATATATAAATAAATTTTTAAATTAAGATTCCAGTCCAAATGTATTCCATGGAGAAAGAAAGATCAATCTTCGAAGGAATTGAGCAGTCTTCAAGGTTTGGAATTTTCTTGAAAGCAAACACTAAATTCTAGTTCAACAATTTTTATAAATAAACGTACCTCAACGCTCCCCCACGCCCTTCTTTGAAACTCTCCATTAAGCTCAAGCCCGAAACTGATATTTCTTTCTCTTATCGATACATTTGAATCAATCTTAATTTCAAAAATCTTTCTTTTTAAAAAAGTACCTAAATAAAACATATAATTTTATAATGGAGTCTTGCGCTCTACTTGCAAGTAGAGGACTCACTGGAGCAAAAGAGTTGAAAAAACAAATATGAAAATAGAAGGCAAAGCGGAAGATGGCTTTCAACGTAAAAGAACAAGACATTACCGGCGTGGAAGTGGCGTTAAAAAAAGTAAGAGACCTGACTCACCTCTTCCCGCGGGCAGCCATGGAGGCGTTTGTTTAGTTCGCGCACGGAAAGGGACATGAGCAGCTCGTCGTTCATGAGTTCTTCCTGGGGGTTGTTGCTGCCGCAACTCGGGTACAGGGCACTGCCTGTCCTGTGCGCGGGACTAGGTCCTCCAGCACCGCAAGAACTCACTGAACAAACGCTCATCGGTCTTCCCGGTTGCATAGGTATGCCCTGCATGCTGTCTTCCATCCCCGACATTCCACTTCCGCCCGCGGGAAGCATCCCGCTGCCTGCGCCCGTGCCCCCGTAGTACTCTAAGTGACCCGACATCGTGATGTATCCACCTGCGACAATAACATTTGTCGACTTCCAGTTTTATTCCCCGAAGTCGTTTTCCCTTACTATTTACACTATTCTTAACCCTTTGCACTCCGAGCAATTCGACTATACGCAGATAATCAACTCCAACACCATTTTTCTTAGATTTCTAAGTTTGGGAATGGAAAATTCTTGAGTTTAGAATGGCCACGAAGAACTCTTTGCAGTTTCTTAATTTTGTTAGCATTTAGGTTAACGGAAATTAATTATTGGCCTTCATTTGATTACTTATACGAAGTTGTTTGAAACGAACAATGGAAAACTAACGTATTCTTCTTACTTTAACGCGAGGGTTTCGTGTGGGGATATTTAATAACTTCACAGATTCAAAAAGTAGGAGTCTTGAAAAGCTAATTATTTTTTAGCTTTGAAATTAGTTTGTTTATGGATATATAAATAGTTTTCTTTCAAAATTTATTTAAAAATTCATAGAGTAGAGGATTGCAGACTTGTCTTAGTGATGAGTACGAGACCTGCATTTACAAGTAGTGTTAAAAAGATTGGATATTTTTGTTTCTCTAATTCTGTTTCTATTTCCTTCTAGATCATTGGTATGGTTAAGAATGTTCAAATTTCTGTATTAAATTGTTGAAAAGATTGGATATTTCTATTTCTATTTTCCTTTAAATCATTGGTATGGATTTAGAAATTATCTAAGGAATAATTAAATTTCTTGATGGTATTAAGGACAAAACTGAAGTGTATATGCCATTCGTTACGAAAGATGGTCAATAATAATAGTTATAATAAACGATAATGATTATTAAAAATGGTAAATGAAGAACATGAATTATGAAACTTTAAATGTTTACATTTTTCAAAGAAGTCTAGCTAAAAGATTCCTCGTTCACAGGGATAACAAATTTTTATCAAGTTTTACAGGTCGAAAACAGGTCACATCGCAATATTTTTGTATAATAATATCGCGTTCCTGTTGGCTGAGGGTAATGCAGGTGCATGTAGAATTCCACTGACCTCACGATCGCGACCACGGTGAATCACCGTTTCAAAATGTACTAAATTTTCTGCGTCGAATAACTTGAACGGAGCCAGGTGCTGATTCACGAGATTGCTTAAGAGTCGATGATACGAGTGGATGTTTTTGTTTGCATTTTCTGTGCAGGGTGTCTGTCATCTTTCTTGGAATAATTATTGCAGCTCGGTGTTCCGATTAACTGGCAATAATGTTTCGAAAGTTGATATCAAAAAGGTGATAGTTGTATCCTAGTAGCCTCAATTTATTGAAAAGAGTAACAATTACGTAACAACATTTGTCTAATTGTTATGCTACCAAAAATATAGTCTGAAACCTAAGTATACTCTGTTGCAAACGTAAGGAAGTAAATTACTAATGAAGATGTTATTCTGTTCTACATTTTTCATTAATAGTTTACATACTTGTGTTTATTATTTGTGAGTAAGACGGAATTCCAAAGAAAACACTTTATGTTTGGTCTGAAGAATTCCTTCGTTTTGGACGTGTATAATGTAGTTGAAAATTTTATTTAAGAAATGCATCCATCTCTCAGCTTTCTACTCCTCTGCTATAATCCACAATTTTTCCATTTTCTTTTATTAAGAAACTCACTCTTTTTTTATTTATTCCTAAAGTCCTAAACGTAAGAGCTGAAGGAAGATCCTAATGTTTAACCAAGAAGATTAAGCAAACCCTTCTAACAAACTGTACTTTGATTTCAGGTTGGATTCTCTTTTTTTTACAAACAATCATCTACGGAACCAGAGTATGAGTCATGACATAAACGTTAAAGAAGGAAGAACGTAGTTGGAAAATAAAAGTAGACAACTTACAAAGAACGTAGAAACGTTTAACAAAGAAAATTAAAGTAACCCCTTCTAACAATCTGTATTTTCTTTTCAGATTGGATCCACAGCCCACAATAATTTATGGATCAAGATTATGGATTTACGGTAATACCTGTCTTATCGTTATCGTGGCTTACGTTTCAACATCGGCAACAAAATCTCAAATCAAACCATTTTATCGCGTAAAGTACCCAACTAATGTAAATTTCTATTTCCCATAAATATTCTTACCTTCTATGTTTATTACAGAAATCTATCTAAATTAAACGATATGATTAATATTTTCAAATAAATATCTCATTATAAAGACAAACAAGTGTAAAGTTTATTCATGTACATATTTATAATGAAACATTCATTTGAAAATAGCAAACTAATCGTTTAATTTAGACGGATTTCTTTAATAGACGTAAAAGGTACGAATATTTATGCGTATAATATTTTTTAGTCTAATTAAAACTCATCCTCTTACCTCATAAATAAATATATAAAAAAAAAGAAAAGAAAAAAAAACATGCCAAACCTCAATCCTCAAAATCATCGTTTCTCCACTTACCAGTGTGCCTGGCCTGACGCTGCAGCTGATGGAGGTCTTGGAAATGATGATGCGTGGGCGTCGGATGCCAAGCCTCGTGATGATGCTCGGGCGTCTGCTCCTGGGGACAATGAGGCCTGAGGTCGAGCGGTTCCTGTCTGAGGGACTGCGTCAGCCAGCCCATACCTCCGGTGCCTGGCTGCATCTCGTCTTGGGCCAGCGAGCCTGGCTGCTGGAGATGCAAGAAGAGGCCCCTTTCGCGGGAATCCCGTTCGCCGCGATGCAACTGCAATGGCGGCGGCGAGGCAGAGACCGGAGGCGTGTCCGGCGGTGTTCCAGGATGCGAGAGGGTCGTTAGGTGAGAAGCTGTACCCGGCGGTGCCTTCACCAGGACTCCGTGCTGCACCTGAATGTGCGGCTGCCCGTACAGGGGATGAGGTTGCTCCAATTCGTGCGCCGGCGGCGTCAGGGGAGCCAATGCCAGGCCCTGCGCCTGCACCTGGCCAGGTAACTGTACCACGCTACCGTTCACCATCATTGGTGAGCTGATTCGTACCTGCACGGTGAAACAACGGTTCGTTAGTTTGGTTTAGGTTGGTTCAGTCTGTTTAGGGTTGTAATATTTTGAGGTAGGAGCTAAGTGATGGAAGATTTGTGCAGTGCTGCGAAACATTACACGAATTGTCTTGTGTAGATGTGTAGAGTCGGGTTAAATTGCGAAGTAACGTGTAGAGTTGAGATAATATCTGAAGGTGTCAGAAGGTGTTGAGGTGTCTAGATATTGAGGACAATGTTAATTTTACGTTTATTTGGTTAGAGGGGAGTTAATTATTTAAACATTTTTTAATATCTTTGGAGAGTGAATAATTGGGAAAGATTTGTATAATGTTTTGTTCTTAGGTAGATGGGAGAGTTACATTGTAGAATGTAGTGTTTGGGGTTGTGTTAGTGCTGGTAATTTTTTTAAAGGTAATAGTATTTTTGGTGGGCGAGTGATTTGTGTAATGCTTTAATCTTTGGGAAGCTGAGAGAGTAATGTGTAGAATTAGGGTGTTTCGTCTTTGATAATTGGTAAAGTTGTACTGTAACGAGGAATATTTCAAGTTGGGGTAGTGTTTGAAGATGTCCTACTTATTTGAAAGTTTCCCAAGCTTTGTTTTTGAAGAGCTAGTGAGAAACTTGTGCTGTCTTGTGATTAATCTTTTGCAAAAAGTGAAGCTGCATTGGATTAGACAGAGTTCTAGGTTGGTTAGTTGTTGAACGTATCCTACTACAACTAAAATTTAGTGGTAGCGTATAGTAAAGTGAAACTGCTATTGTTAAGGAGAATTTAGGAGAGATTTATTCATCAATTTATTTGAACCTGACCACTTCTTCTCGATGAAATAGTATAATATTTGTGTCTTCTTTCTTTTGGTTTTTGAAAATAAGTAAAGTTTTATTACCCTGATGTATAACTATAGTAACCATTATCGTTATTCAACAGTTTCTTGGAGAAATACTAAGAAGCTTGTGCCATGTCTTTTGATCTCTTATAGTGAATGATAATTATCAAGTGTGTTAACTACTATAGTTAAAGTACAATATATAATTTCAAAGCTTTTTAGAATCTAATAAGATTCTGGAAGAACCATATACTTCATCTAATTTCTTAGAACCAACGATATTTTTGACAATAGACGCGTCATATCACCAATATGATCCCTAAATGTAGATAATATCGTCAACTTGAGTAAACAGCGTATCGTTTATAATTTATGTCGAGCCCATAGTAACTATTATAGTCCAAATACTGAGTCTGAATATTTCTCGGTGATAATTACAGCTACTATTAATTATTCATCTATAAATTTGTTACAAAGTAGCATGAGGTCAAATGTGAAGAAAATGTTGCGATTAGAGTACGCAGCTACACTGTTTGTTATCAGAAGGAAGCCACTATCGACAACTTTGTTTATAAACATGCGAAAAAGTAAAGATCGGAAATGTACAGTCAGTAGTTTAGTTGTCAGCGATATTATTCGTTGCATACCATGCACAGTATCCTAATATATTCATCACTTGAAATCAAAATCATTTAATCCGCGATGTGTTAGTTATCGACATATTTAAATCGACTAACTCGTCGACCATGAACGATTTCGACTACGTTCAGATATTGTCGAATGTCAACATAATTCCCAAGATAGAATGCAAACTCTGAATTAATTTTGATTTACTTTTAGTTTATTTCACAAACACAGTTCTTAATACATTTCTTCTTCAATATTTGAATATTATACAATTAACGCTTTTGGGAATGACAAAATTGTAAAATGTCACCCATTGGAGCGATTAATAATGAAATATCTAGATTTAATTCGTATAGAAGCTGTACGATTATATCATTTGAAATGAAATTTAAATTCCGTAGGAAATTCAAAAGATACAATAATTCTTATCATTCAGTGTATTTAATATTTGCCTTCAGTTAACATCATCGTTAATAATAAAATTCCTAGATTCAATTCGCATAAAAGTTGTCTAATTAAATCACTTGAAATGAAAGTAGGATCCAGTAGTATTTAATATTTTTGTGGCTGAACGTCAACGTGGAAGGACGAGCCCACATTTTTTTCCACATGAATTCGCAACGTTAGGTATAATTGCAAGCTCGTATAATGCAAACGGTGCACGTGACTTCATTTACACGCGCGAGCTTCAACGTCGGCGGAAATTATCAGTACGAAGCAGATAATAACGCACGTGAATGAATTCATCATCTCTATATTCGCTAAAAATATACGAAAGGGCAACCTTGTGAATGACGTTTCTTTTTTTTTTTTTTTTTTTTTTTTTTTTTAATAAAAACGTTTCCCATTCCGCTTTTGTATATTTGCATTTTAGCAGAAAAAATGAAAACATGAAAGGATAAATTGGATAAGTTACAATTTCTTTTTTCCATTGGATGCTTGCAATGAAATTTAATTTTCGACACTTCCCTTGTTACACTCCAATTTGTTGTGGTTTCCACTTTTTTTTTACACTAATTTTATATTCCATTAGTGAAAGGGATCAAAAGAAATTCATTGAAACGATTAATAATAATTATTTTACAACTGTAATGTTGGGGAAAGTTGCTCGTTTGTCGTAAAATGAAAATACAACGCCGAATTATTAATTCAACGACGAAGGCCTTCTTTAGTAAAGTATTCAACCTAGAATAACGTTTCTATAATCTCTTTGATATTGAACTTCCTAATTTATTCTTAGCCCTTAATTATCGTCTATTTATCAAGGATTGATTTTATCAAACTTCACTATCTTATCTAATTATATAACATAATCTAAATCTTCTTAAATTTACATTATGTTCTAAAGACTTTTCATCTAAAGATGAATTATATATATTATTAGTTTACCACTACTACAATTTATACCTACTATTCATCCGCCATTTTACTATTAATTCTCAATAATTAGTTTCTATTTAGTCAACTTTCATCATACAATTTTAGTGTTATTAAACTTTGAAGTAAAACTTGAAGTCCTAAAGAAGGTTCTCTTCTCAAGAAGAAATTAATAAGTTGTACTCTGTTTTCACGACTAACGAGAACCCGTTATTTTCCTAAACATATACTAGTTGATGTTTCATATTATCAAGAAAAATGATTATGGCGTACTATATTTATTAATAACCCGCACACTGTGGAAATCTTACATAAGTAATTTGCCTGTGTTACTACACCTTGAAACGTGGTTCACTTGTCCGGTCTCCACTCCCAATGATTCAACACTATCCCAGTCATCGACACTTGAAATTTATTTTATTGGTATGATTATTAACAGTTTAGTAGAAGTATTACATTTCCTGTGTTCGATAATCTGATTATTATGTATCAAGTCCAACTCGAAAAGGTTCAGCACAAGTTTCTGACATTTGCCTAACATCAAACGGGACTGAGAATGTCTATTTGTTATTATTACAAATGAAACGTGTTCTTAGATGAACGTTATGGGTTAGTTACTTTGTAGTATCGAATAATGTTAGTTAAATTCGCCAGTCTCGACACAAGCTTTATTTGTTATAACACTGTGACTCTTGGATTAGATCTTTAGATATTTCAATGCATAAAAGTGTACGATGGTTTTTTTTTCATGGAAATAAGAAATTGAGAATTTTAATGGGATTACTCTCTAAATTTAAGAATTTTGAAGAAAACGTTATGTCGAAAGTATAGTGAAATTAGTTACAGTCAATTCATTATCAGAATGAAATTATAAAGTATTAGTAAATTATTAAAAAGAATAGATTTAATATTCAGGCACTCGCTGTATATATAAAATAAAAATAAGATGATTTAAATCATAAATTAATCAAACTCATCTTCGTTTTATTCTTAATGTAGTTTTTAAATTCAACAAGGATATCATTCATAATTTTCACAATAAAAAATACTCACAGTACTCTTTTATGTATCCAAACTTTTCAATCTAAACTTCGAATCCTAATTATAATAAAACACATATACGTTAAATACCAAAATAAACCGTCAAAAAACATCAGTTCTCAATAATCAAAAATCAAACAAACCACCATAAAACACCCAACTAAAAAGAATACCTCAACATGAAATCCATCTACGTATTTAACAGTTACAATACTTAATCGCAATCCTGAAGACTCTCGAATCCAAGAAAACTATCCAACAAATAAAACGGTCCGTCGTGTCTTTTCGAGTCTTCGTTCGTTCGCACTCGCGGGCTCCTCTATCGATACAATTAGCGAGATGGATCGCCGTTTAATCCAGACTCAAACAGAATCGAACATCACGAACCTCTCGTTTGACGTCGGCGGGATCGAGATGATCGAGAACAAACTCCTGTACGTATTCCCTGGCGAGATGGTCCTCGGCTTCCATCTTAACCTCGTCGACCTCTACCTCCACCTCCTGCGCCTCCACCTCCTCTACCGTATCGGTTGCGGCCGCATACGGGTGCGTCTTCTCGCTGCCACCGCCACCTCCACCTCCACCTCCGCCGTCGCCACCTCCTCGACAACTCGTCACCGTTTGTTGCGTCGTGACCACCTTCCCCAAACGACTCCGCCTAACGACGCGAATCCGCTAACCGCGATCTCGTCGCGAACGTGACACCGATTATGCCACGCCACGTGAGCTGACCGATCGATTCGCTGGATTCACTGAGATTCTCGGTTCACGAGACGTTTTTAGACGTTCAGGGATCTTCTGTTCTCATGGGAATAGCCCTTTTGGAAGAACGAGTAGGGATTGAGTAAGTTGGATTCTTTGGTTGATGGAGAATACAGGTTGCTCGAGGACGATAAACACCTGCGAGCGTTTAATGCGTGTGTATTATCGCTCGCGTGGGAATCCCTGCCGCGCGCGGCGGTGGGTTGAGTAGATCGAGACGTGCTTGGTCAGACGAGGGTAGAGGGTACGAAGCGTCTGGAGTTTGAAGATCTTTGTGGCCAAGGGATTTGATTTACCGAGGCTTTGACCTTCTGATGCTCTGGCTTTCCGATGTCCTGATGCTGTAAAGCTTTGACGTTCAAGCTTTGTTCTTGAGCTTTGAATTCCTAATGTCCTGATCGTCTAAAGCTCCCTTTGGCCGGCTCTCTGAACTTTTCACGTCTTGATTTCACGTCTTTAGTCTTCGATATTTTTGAACTTGTAGTGTCCTGAAGTTTTAAAGCTCTGTTCTTCTGCTGCCCTGAAATTCTAACGTTCCAGTGCTCTGAAGCTTTGTCCTTCAATTGCTCTGAACTTGTAACGTCCTGATGTTTTAAGGCTCTGTTCTTCTGTCGCCTTGGACTTCTATTGCTCTGATATTCTAAAGCTCTGTCCTTCTGTCGCCCTGAACTTTGAAAATCCTGATATCTTACAGCTTTGATCTTCAGTCGCCTTAAACTTGCAACATTCCGATGTTCCAGAGCTCTCTTCTTCCGTCACCTTGAACTCCCAGTGTCCAGATATTCTAAAGCTTTGACTTTCAGTCTCTCTAAACTTGGAACGTTTTGCCACTCTAAAGCACCTCCCTTCCTCTTTTTCTCCAAAACAGTCCGTTCGTTTACGTCAAGCACCTCCGAACATGCACCAACCGCGATGATCGTGTCGCAGGTATCCGAACTCACTGTCCGAAACGCGGCGAGCGTAACCGACCACCCACTGGCATCACTGTCACCTACATAGCACTGGCCCGCCTCGATCTTCCCGCCAAAAAGTGGTCGCGTATCGACGTTCGATCCCCCAGCCCGTCGACCTGCTCGATCCCGGCGAATCAAATTCTGGCGAACGCGAGCGGCGCGCGAGGAGCGTCGCGGGGTGCCCAGATACCTCCGGACACCTTCCCTCCGCGCGGTTTCTAGCGCGCACACCAGCGGAGCAGAGGCACCGGGAAAAGGGAAAAAGAAGACGCCGTGGTAAGCAGCGCCGAATACGTCGTCCGAGTGGTGACTGCTCTGACGAGTGTAAGTGGAGTGAGACTCTGCGCGCAGGACAGAGTGACGTCACGCGTGGGCGTGTCCGCCATTACTCGACCCTCCGCGGGGTGCAACGATTGGCTAAGTCGGGAAGGAGTCGCCATTTGCACGCACCCACGCTCGACCCCCACCATCCACCTCCACCTTGTCACTCCCGGCACGAATCCCTCCCGTGCCCATCGCTCGAGGTACCATTAATTTCTAAAGTGATTATTATAATTTTTCAACGGGCACGATGCTCCTATCCGCCGCCACCCACCCTTCGAGCACTCCACCCCTAACCCCTCGAAACGGCGTGCCCGTTTCTCCTCCGCGTTCTCTCTTTCTTCGGGATTTCAATTTAGCGCCGGTCGGTATATAGGGGTTGACCTGTTATCGCGCGACCGCGATCTCGGGATCGGTGGATGTACGATTTTCAACGAGGTACGCGCTTATGCAGTCGGAGGGACAGGGTGGAGGGTCACCTGAAACCGGGGATGCTACGCGTGCGGAGGAAATGCGTCGTGGGTACGGAATTAACGCGAACGGCGTGGACGCGTTAAGCACTGGTGACCGACGCTTGAAACTTTTAATGTAGCTTTGAGCTTTTATTTTGCATGACGTGATATTCATTTTGAGAAGTCGTGGTTTCAGAGCTGAACATGACTTGCTGGGGAGATTTTTGTTTTATAAGGGAGGTACGCAAACACAACGCACGTATGCTGCTCCTTTTATACACGAGAGAATCGTAAAAAAGCTCCCTGAACTTCTAATGTACCGACGTACTAAAGCTTCTATTTTCCGTCGCCTTGAAATTCCAAGCTTCATTCTTCTGTTGTCTTGATGTCCCAAATCTCTGTTCTTCTGACGTCCTGATGTCTCAAAGCTCTCTTCTTCTGTCGCTTTAAACATCCGATGTCCTGAGATTCTAAAGCTCTGGTCTTCTGTCACTTTAAACTTCTGATTTCCTGAGATTCTAAAGCTCTGGTCTTCTGTCGCTTTAAACATCCGTTTTCCTGAAATTCTAAAGCTCTGGTCTTTTGTCGCTTTAAACATCCATTTTCCTGAAATTCTAAAGCTCTGGTCTTCTGTCGCTTTAAACTTCCGATGTCCTGAGATTCTAAAGCTCTGATCTTCTGTCGTCCTGAACCTCTAACGTCACAATGTTCTAAAGCTTTGGACTTTCAGTCGCTCTGAACTTGTAACATCCTGAGGTTTTAAACTTCCGTTCTTCTATCGCTCTGATCTTCTAACATCCTGATGTACTAAAGGTCTGTTCTTCCGTCACCCTGATCTTTTAACGTCCCGATGTTCCAAAGCTTTGTTTTTCTGCACGCTTTAAACTTTGGATGTTTAGACATTCTAAAACTCTCTTCTCCCTGTATAAAGAGAGGCACGTATATATGTAATCGAGATATCGCTTCGACTTCTGACCAGATGGGACAACGAGAGGTTACATCGAGTGACCTTATTCCGATGAATCGAATCGACGAGGCGATCGTGAACGAATTATCGTCGGATAATGATGCTCACTCCCTTCGTCAAAGGTAGAGAAATGCCACAGGCTTTTCATTTTGCGATATTACCGAAGTTCGTAATTATCGGATCGGTCCCAATTGAAACGCCAAGTATTCCGCAAGAAGAATAAAATGATTAAAAGTTTGATTGTAGTTGAAACCGAAGTGAAGTCCTTAATTATAATATAGAAATCTACAATATAGAGTATAGTATAGAATTCTATATTATAATTAAGGAAATTATACTGCTAGTCAACTTCTCGCCTCTGCACAGTACCAGTAATTTATTCTCATACTATAAGTACAATCAAAGGAAAACACATTCGATCACCTTGACAATGCAATTATAAAACCTCTATTTCGATCGATTTTTAAAATATTTATTCTGCTTTGAATCTAGTAGATTCATTCGAGCAAATATTTCATTAACAAGTGTAAACATAAAAATCTCTTCATTCAGAAATCAATTTCAGAAACGTTACACCAGCTACCATTTTCCTATCGTCCACCGTAAGAAATTTAAATTCGATTCATTATTATCTGAAAATATTATCGTTCCTACCGATACTCCTCGCGCAGATCGAAGCTGCACCGATTGCATACGTTTCGTTTTTCAAACAAAGGCTTGATTCGCTGGCAACGCGCGCAAGGGAAGAGTCGAGCGACGGCGCGAATCACGAACTCGCATCTAAATAGGTTTCCGCGAATGTCTACGAATCTACCCCCGCTTAGCAGTCTATATTCTATACCCATTTCTCGGACGGCACGACTTTAAAATGCTTCATGAATATCAAATTTTCGTTCTCCCGCGCGAGAGCCTCCACCGGCACCCTCCCCTTGCTTTGCGTCTGTTCTCGCCCTTTTCCCTTTATTTCTCATTTCCACCCGTTCGCGACGCTTGGAAACGAATTTGTTGCGCGTGCTACGACATGCACTTTGCACTTTTAATAAACACCTTCGGTTGCATCGTTGCGTTGCACTGTTACGTGGTTAAAAATAAAAAATGCTTACCATCGGAGAGTAAATATTTTTGTCTGACAAAGATAGTTTTGGCTGGCCTTTAATTACGCGTGGTAATGAGAAAATGTAGCATACCAAGTAACTCAGAGGAATTGTGATAGGTATTATGTGATATGGTAAACAGACGTCAACAGTATATCAATTGCCTTTTTCTTACTATCAAATTCAATAAATGATTTCTACGTGAAAATATTAATCATCGTTCGTCTGTATAGTGGAATTTAGAGTATGGTTGATTAATGACAATGCTCGTTTTATTTTGTGAACGGACTTGATTGACACGCGAGAGACGAATTATATTAAAATTTGTAGTCAGTCAATGCTACTATCTCGGTTCTAAAATTATTTAAAATTCTAGTTTAGATAGTTCTCTAAAAAAAGTATTTAAAAAATAGGACAAAAACGTTTAATTAATTATACGAATAACACTGCTTTTCAAAAATTAAATAACGAATATTTCTGTATGATGCAGTAGCAGTTGTCGTGTTCTTCTAGCTTTTAGAATCTTTCTCTGTGATTAACAAATTTTATGCTATGATATTAAAATAACATTATACAGTTTTAAGAATGAAAGTTAATTACATGCATGGCACTGCTTCTCAAAAATTAAGTGGCGAATATTTCTGTATACCTTAATAGATATTTAATTTGAAAGTTACGTTCTTCTAGAAATTACAATATTTCTTTGTAAATAACAATTTCAAATAAAATTATACAATATTAAGAAATTTAAATCTGAATGCTCTACGACATCGAAGTATATTCTATACTTGACTGTAACCATCACTGTAATTGAGATTTGAAAAAAAAAAAGAAGAGATAAAATTGTAACTCAACGCTCGTCCGTGTAACTGGAACGCATTACATGACTCCCTAGTAGGCGAAAAAGTACGCCAACCATTCCGAACTGGACGTGCAGTTGCAACCATGTCACATAGTTTATTTTTCTTCATAATTCTGAATGCAATTCCAGAATGATTCATAGAATTTATATCAATTATATTAATACATAGAATCGCGTAACAATAATAATTTAATAAATTCAAGGAAATAAATGCATAAAATAGAAGAAAAAGTTGAAGGGAAATTTCATGAGATATAACCATAAGTCAAAATAAATCTGTGAATTGGTGAACAAATTTAAATGAATGATTTCTTATGTACTCTTTAATTTTTTTGTTTAATCCCAGATCTATCAAGCACAAATTACGAGTACAAATATATCATTCATGAACACCTTATGGTTCGTCCTCCTGAACAATTACCTAGATGACTTTTTATTCATTCAAAGTGAGATGTATATAATTCACTTCCTAACTCAGATTGCAAGTCTTGTAAATTAAAACAAGAAATAATAATTTATGTTATATTTATTTTTAAAAATTTGTATCTAGATAAGAAAGTCCCTCTTCCACCAACACCAATTGAAATGAAACACAACTACATATAAGGAACATTGCATTGATGGAACTAAATGAAGGGTACAAAAGTGTTCTCAGCCACTTGTGTGCTTAATTCGTGTATCTTGCTCCTCGGTGGCTGTAGCTACGTTTGATTGTAGCTACAGTACGGGTTTAGCGAGCCCGAGGTACCCGAGTTATACGAGGGAAGGGGACAGTGAGCCCCAACAGATATGCAAAGGAATGTAAGAGATACTGTAAACGGTATTAAAAGTTCAGTACAAAGAAATTTCAAAATAATGGAAGAAGTATAAATCATATATATAGCACATGTTGATTGGAACCAATTTAATGACGGAAAATGTTTCTAAAATAAATGCAAACAAACAATTTGTGTCTCGTTGAACGCAGACAGACGAACTGCTCGTCTGGTGGAATTCCAATGGATGGTGGATCGATCGAAGGAGACAAATTCTCCATCCGAGGCACCGGAAGAACCGAAAAGAAGCGAAGGAAGCTTTAAGGTCTATCCGTACTTTAACCGTGGCGGGCCAAGGTGACAAGACAGACAGAATTTTGTTGGTCTAGACGGCAAGTGTCGCAAAGAGACCCGAAATAGAGAACGGTGAGGACGACGATAGGATTGGCCATTTTGTTGAGCGAGGAATTTGTCGACGCTGCACTTTGACATCCTCTACCCATCGTTTTCTTTTCGTTCCCCACTTCATCGTTCGGCTTGTACTCGATACGTTCGCGAAAGAATACAGTTGTTCTCGTACACAACGAACCTAAAAAAATTGTTCAGGGCCCACGGGGACGTGGCAACCGATTTAAACGAATCGTTACGGTCGATGACACCTGATTCTCTTTGTGCACACCTTTTGTACTTACCTTGCACTTTTGGTAGTATATGTAAATCGAGGGATGATCGTTTTGCAGTTTCAAAGAAGTAGTTATTTGTTTAATTTGTGATAAGTAGAGTGCGGATCTTTATGCAAAATAAAATCATGGCGAACGTGCCTACAAAAATTGAACCTGAATAGGAATTTATTTTATTCTGC